TTCAGGTTTTTCGTTTTTATTTCTCGTTTTGCTTTGCCGGCGATCATCAAAATTCTATAATTTGATTGGCCAGATATCACGTGATTCTGCTCCGCTTTAGACGACCCCCATATTTGGGACGTTCTTACCTCGAAGCAATGGGTCTGTGTTGCAAAAAAAAAGAAATTTCATTTATAAACATATATACTAATAAATAGAGATCTCGTGTTTTGCACCGGGTATTTTGCAAGGGGGACATTGAATCGATTTTTAATATCATGTGACTAAATCTAAACGATTCAGCACTATTCCTCATTAGCCGATAAAATCGATTTAGCCGACTAAGTCAGTCGATTTGTTAAAAATCTTAGGTTATGTATATATCTACATAGGAAATGGTCCAATTTTATAATATATAGTAGTATAGCGGGTTGGCAGGAAAATCCGGATATATATTATTCTACATACTGAAGGTAGGGATAGAAATTATGCGTATCGGTATAATAAAATTTGGTATAAATACCATACATATATAGATTTGTCACGTGCTCGCTCATTCCTATGTCTAAAATATTATACCAATTATACGGTATATATTTTATTAAGCGATTTGCTACGTTTTATTAAAATTTAGGGTTAGGTCAGGGTTAGAATGTTTTTATGGGTTAAGATAAGGATTAGTGTTAAGATCAAAATTTTAATTAACAAGGTTTTTGGGATTCTGAACATTTTTATTTAAGACACCAAGCATAATTTATCTCGTGATTTCAAATTTTCTCGTAATTCTTTTTTTTCCTCCTCTTTGGCCATTCAATAAATATCCACCAAATTAGAGGGCTGTTCGAGAATTCTTTATTTTCTCTCAACTTTCGCCCATAATTACTTTGACAGTTCTTGAGATATAGCACCTATGGTTCAACACCATAGATGCATTTATTTTTCTTAAAAAAAGTCACGACGACATACGTTACACGACGAAAATTCACTAATAAAATCACCATGTATGACTTTTTATGGTTTCTCAAATTTAGACGACCTCCATATCAATTTGAATTCCCAGAATAGGAAGTTAATATCGATACAAGTAAAGTTTTGAAAGTAATGAATACAAATTACTTTGAAGGATTTTGACAAATGACAAAATATCCAAATATCGCAAAGTATAAACCAGTGATATTATCGTTTTAGATAATCGTGAGATGAGATACATGAACGAAGATTAGTAAATAAGAGGCTTAATGTAATAGATATAATTTAGGAACATTAAAAATTTCATGGACAACTATATATGATAAGATGTCGGGGTATCACCAGAAGTTTCACCATATGATTCATCTAATTTCCTTTTTTTCATGATACCATCATCAGATAAATCCACAACGGCAGGTCGTTTTATAGGAGATTTTTTTTGAGATATCATCCAATCCCAGATTTCAATTTCATCAACAATATCATTTAATATATCCTCGGCAACATATTCCATGTAACGTTCAGATATTGGGCGCCATTTACGCACACTATCACCAGGATTCGAAGGTTTCTTTGAAGAAGAAATTTCAAGTTCAGGATCAGGTGGTGGAGGATATCGAAAATGAGGGCCAAAATTTAAAGTACAAGTACCACCACGGAACATTGATACAGCGGGATAATAACCAAGGGAACCATCGTCTTCAGTCAAATCGTCATCATTAGTGTATTCATCAACGGTGGGGAAAAATGAAAACAAATTTTCAAAAGCGACACCTTGACATACACCATTTTTATAAACTATAATCTTTGAACCAGGTAAGGTTGAAATTAAAGGAGGTTGAGAAGTTGAAAGAGGTTTTGCTTCGTCTTGCTTTTGCTGCCACCAATACTTTTTTTCATTTTTCTTTTCAGGTAACTCCAATAGTTGATTCATTTTATGAGTAGGTTTAAAATCTTTATATTCAAACATAGTGTCACCTTTAAATAAAATAGGAATTCTATGCCTCTTTGGACTAATTGGTTGATAGCCAGGAATAACTTTTTTTAATGAAGGTAAACTTATATAAAGGCCAATAACATCACCAGTTTTGAAATGGTCACCATAGGGATACAATCTTGATTGATGTATTTTATGACCAGTAAGATCTCTAAAACCATAACTATAAGCATCAGAACCAACAGGGGAGTTACGATTTCCTACAAATTATCATCAAAATATTATTATAATTATTATTATAATTATTATTATAATTATTATTATAATTATTATTATAATTATTATAATTAGATAAAAATATTATAATATTATAATTAGATAAAAATAAAAAAATATTATAATATTATAATTAGATAAATATTATAATATTATAATTAAATAAAAATAAAATAATACCTTCACGACGAGCCCAACCTACTCTGACGTGAGCAGCATCTTTTCCATCAATTTTTCCTTCACCACCTCGATCAATGAAAACTTCATAAAACCACTGACCTTCCTTTACAGAGCAATTAGCTCTAGCCATTGAGAAACCAAAATCAGTAGTAGTAGTTAACTGGTCGCCACTAATCCATACAGATAAGCTAGCATCTTCTTTAGAAAGACGTACACCATAAGGAGATATTTCAGAATTACGATATTGTATATATGGAAACAAATTATCAAGTTCACAAGGTAAATATTTGAAACCATGACGTAAATTATTCTGTTCACCAGATTGACCAAATTCAGTATTAGAAGAGCTTGCTTGAATGAGAGCAATTACGACATTTGAAGAATTTGATTGCATTGCAGGAGGAGTCATACTTTGCTCGGTAGTATTAAGAGGAGTTGATGGAAGTTTTGAAGATGAAGCATGAGAAGAATTGTCATGATAAGTTATACGATTATTATTATTATTAACGTCTTTATTCATTTTAGAAGGAGTTCGAGAGTGAGAAGTCTATTGAGAAAATAATATAATTATTAATTATAAAAGTTAAAAAAAAAAACTTGAATGGAATAAGAGAATATAAGAATGATAGAAACCCCAAAATGGCCTGGCCTAATGTTCCATAAGTTTGGATCTACTAGACAAAAATTAGAACTTGCCGAACGATTATTTTCATCTTTTGCGACAAAAAGATCTTTGGTTGAGTATAAACATGAACCAAGAGTAGCCCACCTATGTAATTAATAATATTAATGAAAAAAAATAAAAAAAAATTAATAAAATTTAAAAAAAGATTAATAAAATTTAATAAGATTAATAATGATAAAAAAGATTTAATAACATTTAATAACATTTAATATACATACCAAGTTGCAGTTCTAGACCGCTCAGTACATAAAGAAGACCAATTCTTGTCTACAAACGGACGTAAATGATCATTTTTATTAAAATAATAGCGAAATGGAGGCAAATTCACCGAGTTTGCAGATTGATATCGACTATCCCCCTTCGAGGCGTTATGATCGGTCATATGTTGTTGAAGCATAAGGTTTGCAATCGCGCATCCGCCGATTTCTTTCCAACCAGCTTGACATCGCTATAATAATAGTAAATTTTTAAGTTAAACAACAAATTTTTACGGCTAAATAAGAAGAATAAAAGTAGACATACTTTAAAGCCTTCAACACCTGAAGGATTACATAGTTTACAATGAAATATGTAATTGGTAAAAATTGGAATAGTATTATCGACCGAAATTTGAATGCATTTTACATGAAACCAATTTAAACAATCTGTAAGTCAAAAAAATAAAAAATAAGTTTAAAACGATCTGTTTAAAGTAATAGTAGTAAAAACAAAGTAGAATACCAGAACACTGAAGAGACACTTCAGTTAAGTTTCTATCACCACCACAGTAACAGTACTGATGTTCTTTATTTACAGTATGCGTGTCATTCCAAGTAAGCTTTCTTGGATCATAAGACGATGACATAGCACAAATATCGTTTAGTTGAATAGAGGAAAAAAGTTAAGATGATTGGTCCATTTAATAATAACAATTTCTGAATTTATAATTTTCCAGATAGTGCAATGTTGTACATTTATAATGTCTAATTTGGGCGTACAATCCACAATTATGTCTGATATGTAAATCTGAAAATACTGCAACTTTAAATTAAAAAAATAACGTGTCAAAAATAAACATTTTATTAGAAAGTTATTGTTTGTCCACCCAGTGTCATCAGTACCATGTTACTATTTTATAATATTACTAAATATAAAAATTCCATTTAGATAATTCCATTTAGATCTTCGAAACCGATTTCTAGAATCCGGGTTTTTAATTATTATTCTAGAGATGATATTTTTACATAAAATGTATATTATCAATTCTTATTAAGAAAATAATGAGAATAAATCAATTTCGAAATTAAATTCAATATATGTTTTTAATAATAACGATAATGATAATGTAAAACGAGTCCGTTCTCTATCATTATATGGCTATATGGGGAATGAATTAAAAACAAATATATAACGATAAGCTTAGTGAATAATAATAACTATATATATAGCAATTATTACTATGCCATACCGTAATTGTTTAAATAATTTCAAATTTAGAGATATTGTTATTTGCACAAATCACGTGAAATTAACAAAATTATTACATTACATGAATAAATTTTATTATAATTAATAGATTTTAAGTAGACATTTAAAATGTTATTTATGTATATGTAAATATATGTAATTTGTGTGATTGTAAAAATAAGTCGTGGTTTTAATTTGACCACACTCATATTCAATATATTCAATAAATAAGGAGCCAATATGCTACCTGATTGCTGCAAAATTTATGAATTTTGGCGCAAAATTTCAATATAAAATCAATTGCTGTATTGCTGTATTGATGCCAAAATTCGTAAGCAATAGGACACAAATAGGATACCAATAGGGTATGCTATCCTAGCTGTTTCAGTATTTTTCAATTTATGAAATGCCTTTTTATTTTAACCTGAATAACGACGTATCGGTATGTAATTTATCCAACTTTAGTAAATCTATTTCGGATGTAAACTTTTTCCACTCGTGTCGAAGTCATGTAGTACGCAGTGTTCGAAATTGTTGTGAAAACAATTATGAATTTGTGCACAGTATAAATTTTTTTACTGTTCACTATTAAAAAATTTTTGTAAACAGTAAAATAATAAAAGTGCTACAATATAATCCAATATAATCCAATATAATCCAATATAATCCAATATAATCCAATATAATCCAATATAATCCAAATTTCAAACACTGGTAGTACGTATAACCTCATTGTTTTCTACGTACGTACTTAATACTATTTCGGGCAATGGATCAACTGAACATTTGTATACGTATCAAATTTTAATTAATTTTAAATTTAAATTACTTTCTATAGTTAAGTCGAGCACATGCTCATCAAATATTGGGATTTAGTTTTGGTATTTTGAATATCCTATTTAAATGAACCCTATTTTCTTTCCTTTTTCTTTCCTTTATAGCAAATACTTCAGGGGTCGTAAGATCATTAGAACATTGAGATTTAAGTTCAGCAGCATCGGCAGAAGTTGTGTTATCACTGCATTTAGGAGCGGAACAATAGGTATCCAAGGTTTGTTTTGGGTCAGCAGTTTTATTTTGCAATCCTGCTAACTTGACAAACGAAGCACAACTAATAAGTTCAGTACTTGTAGAAAGCTTAGCAATTTCGGTAGAACATGTAATAGAGGTATTTGCTGGTAGTTGTTGTGCGGAAACAAAATTGAATGCAGCAAGTACAAAAACGAAAAGTGAACTTAATTGTAAGAATTTCATGATTGGGATTAATTGAAATATTCGCAAAGGAAAGAAAAAGGAAAGAAAATAGGGTTCATTTAAATAGGATATTCAAAATACCAAAACTAAATCCCAATATTTGATGAGCATGTGCTCGACTTAACTATAGAAAGTAATTTAAATTTAAAATTAATTAAAATTTGATACGTATACAAATGTTCAGTTGATCCATTGCCCGAAATAGTATTAAGTACGTACGTAGAAAACAATGAGGTTATACGTACTACCAGTGTTTGAAATTTGGATTATATTGGATTATATTGGATTATATTGGATTATATTGGATTATATTGGATTATATTGGATTATATTGTAGCACTTTTATTATTTTACTGTTTACAAAAATTTTTTAATAGTGAACAGTAAAAAAATTTATACTGTGCACAAATTCATAATTGTTTTCACAACAATTTCGAACACTGCGTACTACATGACTTCGACACGAGTGGAAAAAGTTTACATCCGAAATAGATTTACTAAAGTTGGATAAATTACATACCGATACGTCGTTATTCAGGTTAAAATAAAAAGGCATTTCATAAATTGAAAAATACTGAAACAGCTAGGATAGCATACCCTATTGGTATCCTATTTGTGTCCTATTGCTTACGAATTTTGGCATCAATACAGCAATACAGCAATTGATTTTATATTGAAATTTTGCGCCAAAATTCATAAATTTTGCAGCAATCAGGTAGCATATTGGCTCCTTATTTATTGAATATATTGAATATGAGTGTGGTCAAATTAAAACCACGACTTATTTTTACAATCACACAAATTACATATATTTACATATACATAAATAACATTTTAAATGTCTACTTAAAATCTATTAATTATAATAAAATTTATTCATGTAATGTAATAATTTTGTTAATTTCACGTGATTTGTGCAAATAACAATATCTCTAAATTTGAAATTATTTAAACAATTACGGTATGGCATAGTAATAATTGCTATATATATAGTTATTATTATTCACTAAGCTTATCGTTATATATTTGTTTTTAATTCATTCCCCATATAGCCATATAATGATAGAGAACGGACTCGTTTTACATTATCATTATCGTTATTATTAAAAACATATATTGAATTTAATTTCGAAATTGATTTATTCTCATTATTTTCTTAATAAGAATTGATAATATACATTTTATGTAAAAATATCATCTCTAGAATAATAATTAAAAACCCGGATTCTAGAAATCGGTTTCGAAGATCTAAATGGAATTATCTAAATGGAATTTTTATATTTAGTAATATTATAAAATAGTAACATGGTACTGATGACACTGGGTGGACAAACAATAACTTTCTAATAAAATGTTTATTTTTGACACGTTATTTTTTTAATTTAAAGTTGCAGTATTTTCAGATTTACATATCAGACATAATTGTGGATTGTACGCCCAAATTAGACATTATAAATGTACAACATTGCACTATCTGGAAAATTATAAATTCAGAAATTGTTATTATTAAATGGACCAATCATCTTAACTTTTTTCCTCTATTCAACTAAACGATATTTGTGCTATGTCATCGTCTTATGATCCAAGAAAGCTTACTTGGAATGACACGCATACTGTAAATAAAGAACATCAGTACTGTTACTGTGGTGGTGATAGAAACTTAACTGAAGTGTCTCTTCAGTGTTCTGGTATTCTACTTTGTTTTTACTACTATTACTTTAAACAGATCGTTTTAAACTTATTTTTTATTTTTTTGACTTACAGATTGTTTAAATTGGTTTCATGTAAAATGCATTCAAATTTCGGTCGATAATACTATTCCAATTTTTACCAATTACATATTTCATTGTAAACTATGTAATCCTTCAGGTGTTGAAGGCTTTAAAGTATGTCTACTTTTATTCTTCTTATTTAGCCGTAAAAATTTGTTGTTTAACTTAAAAATTTACTATTATTATAGCGATGTCAAGCTGGTTGGAAAGAAATCGGCGGATGCGCGATTGCAAACCTTATGCTTCAACAACATATGACCGATCATAACGCCTCGAAGGGGGATAGTCGATATCAATCTGCAAACTCGGTGAATTTGCCTCCATTTCGCTATTATTTTAATAAAAATGATCATTTACGTCCGTTTGTAGACAAGAATTGGTCTTCTTTATGTACTGAGCGGTCTAGAACTGCAACTTGGTATGTATATTAAATGTTATTAAATGTTATTAAATCTTTTTTATCATTATTAATCTTATTAAATTTTATTAATCTTTTTTTAAATTTTATTAATTTTTTTTTATTTTTTTTCATTAATATTATTAATTACATAGGTGGGCTACTCTTGGTTCATGTTTATACTCAACCAAAGATCTTTTTGTCGCAAAAGATGAAAATAATCGTTCGGCAAGTTCTAATTTTTGTCTAGTAGATCCAAACTTATGGAACATTAGGCCAGGCCATTTTGGGGTTTCTATCATTCTTATATTCTCTTATTCCATTCAAGTTTTTTTTTTTAACTTTTATAATTAATAATTATATTATTTTCTCAATAGACTTCTCACTCTCGAACTCCTTCTAAAATGAATAAAGACGTTAATAATAATAATAATCGTATAACTTATCATGACAATTCTTCTCATGCTTCATCTTCAAAACTTCCATCAACTCCTCTTAATACTACCGAGCAAAGTATGACTCCTCCTGCAATGCAATCAAATTCTTCAAATGTCGTAATTGCTCTCATTCAAGCAAGCTCTTCTAATACTGAATTTGGTCAATCTGGTGAACAGAATAATTTACGTCATGGTTTCAAATATTTACCTTGTGAACTTGATAATTTGTTTCCATATATACAATATCGTAATTCTGAAATATCTCCTTATGGTGTACGTCTTTCTAAAGAAGATGCTAGCTTATCTGTATGGATTAGTGGCGACCAGTTAACTACTACTACTGATTTTGGTTTCTCAATGGCTAGAGCTAATTGCTCTGTAAAGGAAGGTCAGTGGTTTTATGAAGTTTTCATTGATCGAGGTGGTGAAGGAAAAATTGATGGAAAAGATGCTGCTCACGTCAGAGTAGGTTGGGCTCGTCGTGAAGGTATTATTTTATTTTTATTTAATTATAATATTATAATATTTATCTAATTATAATATTATAATATTTTTTTATTTTTATCTAATTATAATATTATAATATTTTTATCTAATTATAATAATTATAATAATAATTATAATAATAATTATAATAATAATTATAATAATAATTATAATAATATTTTGATGATAATTTGTAGGAAATCGTAACTCCCCTGTTGGTTCTGATGCTTATAGTTATGGTTTTAGAGATCTTACTGGTCATAAAATACATCAATCAAGATTGTATCCCTATGGTGACCATTTCAAAACTGGTGATGTTATTGGCCTTTATATAAGTTTACCTTCATTAAAAAAAGTTATTCCTGGCTATCAACCAATTAGTCCAAAGAGGCATAGAATTCCTATTTTATTTAAAGGTGACACTATGTTTGAATATAAAGATTTTAAACCTACTCATAAAATGAATCAACTATTGGAGTTACCTGAAAAGAAAAATGAAAAAAAGTATTGGTGGCAGCAAAAGCAAGACGAAGCAAAACCTCTTTCAACTTCTCAACCTCCTTTAATTTCAACCTTACCTGGTTCAAAGATTATAGTTTATAAAAATGGTGTATGTCAAGGTGTCGCTTTTGAAAATTTGTTTTCATTTTTCCCCACCGTTGATGAATACACTAATGATGACGATTTGACTGAAGACGATGGTTCCCTTGGTTATTATCCCGCTGTATCAATGTTCCGTGGTGGTACTTGTACTTTAAATTTTGGCCCTCATTTTCGATATCCTCCACCACCTGATCCTGAACTTGAAATTTCTTCTTCAAAGAAACCTTCGAATCCTGGTGATAGTGTGCGTAAATGGCGCCCAATATCTGAACGTTACATGGAATATGTTGCCGAGGATATATTAAATGATATTGTTGATGAAATTGAAATCTGGGATTGGATGATATCTCAAAAAAAATCTCCTATAAAACGACCTGCCGTTGTGGATTTATCTGATGATGGTATCATGAAAAAAAGGAAATTAGATGAATCATATGGTGAAACTTCTGGTGATACCCCGACATCTTATCATATATAGTTGTCCATGAAATTTTTAATGTTCCTAAATTATATCTATTACATTAAGCCTCTTATTTACTAATCTTCGTTCATGTATCTCATCTCACGATTATCTAAAACGATAATATCACTGGTTTATACTTTGCGATATTTGGATATTTTGTCATTTGTCAAAATCCTTCAAAGTAATTTGTATTCATTACTTTCAAAACTTTACTTGTATCGATATTAACTTCCTATTCTGGGAATTCAAATTGATATGGAGGTCGTCTAAATTTGAGAAACCATAAAAAGTCATACATGGTGATTTTATTAGTGAATTTTCGTCGTGTAACGTATGTCGTCGTGACTTTTTTTAAGAAAAATAAATGCATCTATGGTGTTGAACCATAGGTGCTATATCTCAAGAACTGTCAAAGTAATTATGGGCGAAAGTTGAGAGAAAATAAAGAATTCTCGAACAGCCCTCTAATTTGGTGGATATTTATTGAATGGCCAAAGAGGAGGAAAAAAAAGAATTACGAGAAAATTTGAAATCACGAGATAAATTATGCTTGGTGTCTTAAATAAAAATGTTCAGAATCCCAAAAACCTTGTTAATTAAAATTTTGATCTTAACACTAATCCTTATCTTAACCCATAAAAACATTCTAACCCTGACCTAACCCTAAATTTTAATAAAACGTAGCAAATCGCTTAATAAAATATATACCGTATAATTGGTATAATATTTTAGACATAGGAATGAGCGAGCACGTGACAAATCTATATATGTATGGTATTTATACCAAATTTTATTATACCGATACGCATAATTTCTATCCCTACCTTCAGTATGTAGAATAA